CATTATTTTTAAAATCCATGTTACACACATCTAGGTTGCATGTATGTACGGACGCATGGAAGACATCGTAAATTTCTGGCTATAAACAATTTCAAACCCGCCAACAAAGAAAGTTAAATCTTGATAAGGACATTCTCTGCTAAAACGCAAAATAAAGATTTCAAATTCAGCTAACAGCACGCCCGCATCACGCATATGAAAAATTCGCCACTGGCACTATGCTAACTCAAAAATTGGCTGGAAAACGAAAGATATAACATTGTGAGAATATCTGTCGCCCATGTGGTAAAACTTCAACTGAACTTTAAATTGCACCTGCGTTATAAATAAGGGCACTAGAAAGTATTTATAGAGAAGTGATAATTTCTGAACTGGATAAACTATGAAGCTGAAATTTTACAGACAAACTACGAAGCTGAAATGTGCTTCTGTGCGAGCTGAGATTTCAATTTCAACTTCACCCAGACCTCACCTAGCATACAAGCAGGATTTCAACTTTAGACTGTTTCAGCATCTATTTACTCTGTAAGCCAATTAAGCAGGAAACCGAAATTTTCTGGGAATATTTACTGCTCATATGGAAGCCTATAAGCGTAAAATTAGTTTTTGTTTCCGCATGTCAACGTTGCAACTACTTTGCTATAATTCCCTTCCCGTAATGAAGAGTAAATGTGGGAGATGCCTAGTGAGGTCTTGATCTAAGTGTAGTCTGGTGGGGCTTGCAAGTCAACGTCGTGCTGGAAGTATTGGAACTACAGTAAAAACTTTTTTGGGATGGACTGTTCACGTGTGTGAATTGCTGTGTGGCGTGGTGCGTAGACTAGAAGGCCAATTAGGAAAATGAAAAATTTTATGTCTTACTTGTCACGACACAGGCAATAGCAATAATACATTAAGCATGATATTTGGGCTCTGACGAACGGGATGACCTGCGAACAGGGGATTTAGCAAGGAGGGCCCGAGGTCGAATAATCCTGGCATCGAGATGAAGGGATCCAAGCCTCAGTTGTGCCCGTTGATTGAGTCGGCTGGAGTCGTAGCTGGCGAGCCGAGGTCGATGAAATTGATGCTGGTTGAGGTAACCGAGGTCGGTCGAAAAAGTTAAGGTCGATGAAGATGAGGCCAAGAGGAAGGATGAAGAGGTTTATAAAGGGATATAGGGTCCACCCCATGAGATGATGTAATAATTTGGAGGAAATTTTAGGAATTTGAGGAAAAGGGAAATAAAAGGAGATAATAAAGGGAAAGGGAATAGGGGTATGGCCAAAAGAAGATAAAGAAGATAAGTGGAAAACGAAAAGGTTTTTATAAGTATAAAAAAAAGGAAGGGCAAAAATGGAGGAAAACTGTAAAAAAGGAAGGACAAAATGGAGCAAATTGTGAAAACTGCGACTGGCATTTCTGATTCATAGGCTAAAAAAAGTGAAAAGAATATCTTATACTGGAATTAGCACTACGAACCAGGGGAGTGTGCTCTGCAAATAACGCGTACTCCCGTAACTCGGCAATATACTGCGATAGGATGCGCAAGATACGAATCGCATCACCAGCTGAAACATTCGTTTTTACGGCTTTTAATTCTGCGTTTTTCACGTTCGAAGTGCGTCTTAATTACGAAATAAAAAAAGAGGGAAGCGATGCAGTACACTCCGTTAGTAGTTAGTTTGGCTTGCACGCTAAGAAATAATGGATGACGATTCTGAACAGTAAGGGGGTAGTGACGTTGAATTTGTAGGAGAACTTGGATGTGGGTAGTACGTTACAGTAAATGATCCGGGAAGGGATGAATATGACTCGTCTCCTAAACATGAATACCGTCGTTTTTATGGCGTTGTAGATGTATTTTCAATGCGCTTGGTCAATAAAGAATCAAAAGAACAGTAACAATTAATCATGGGCTATTAAGAGCTATGCGCTCATCATTGTTCCGTATATAGCTCCTACATATGAACGGTCTTTCGACAATAATCACCTGTCGTAAAGGACCCTAAAAACAAACTCACAAGATTTACTGCTGACCCAAAGCAATATCTTGAGACCTACACTGACAGCCTTCATTCAACGACTTGTCCCCGTTTCGACTGACTCTGATGATCTATTGATTCTCCGTCTCTTTCGCCTGTTATTATTGTTACGTCCAAAAAACCTTATCCTATCTTAGCCTAGCCTGGTACCTTCATCGATTTCTTCGATCTACTTACATATATACGCAGCACTAACAGAACAGCTCACTTTTACTGGTAGCAGCGAGTTGGAACCCCTAGCTCAGCACCACTGTGGGTTTTTATGTCTAAATGCATACGGATCACAAGCCTCTAGCTTGTGTACCGAAAAAGTCAGTAGCTCATCCTAATCTCGCCCGATGGGTCAATGAACTTCAAAATTATAATGTCACTATAGAGTCTATAAAACGAGAACATAACCGCGTGGCGGACGCTCTCTCACGAGTGGATGAAGATATTCGTCTCGCTTCAAACCATACAGGTATTGAGGACATTATTGAACTCTCCCGCTGTCTTGCAACTTTAATGCCAAATCACCCGAAGTTAATAGCAGCAAACACCATGGCCGACAAAGTGACAATCTGAACGAAGGCAGGAGATATCCAGTTCATCCACATCGCGCAAGAGCAATACAATGATCCTGAGTTGAGACCCATCATCGATTTTTACAACAACGGAACTACACCGGAATTACAAGACCCAAAAGAAACGGAACTTCTTTTGGCCAAGCTGGACAATTACTATCTCGATGAAAAAGGATGTCTCCGATGGATCCGTCAACGATAACCAAAACGGGCGAAACCGTAGGACTAATTTTATGGCTTTCGAGTGATTTTGCGACAATATTTTCACTTGTTCAACATACTTTTAGGAACTGAATTCGAGTTTTTGAAGTCCTGCTTAGGCAGGAAACATCGTCCTAAAATTTTCAGCCTCGTGACTCTCCTGACTCTGAGAAAATAGTTTTTATCGCCAAGACTACCACGACAATGTTGAAAATTTGCGGAGTCGTATGTAGGCAGGGAATGCCATGCTAAAATTTCAGCTAACTTCTGTATGAGATAACAATTTTCGTATCAAAAGTTTCACAGGGCCACACGGGCGGTACCCGTAGGCACGAAAAGTCTGAATTTGAATTTAAAGGTTGTATGTGGGCAGGGGAAATATCCATAAAATTTGATCTTCCTACATTCCGTGGTTCCCGAGATAATAATTTACCCGCCGAAAGCTTCACGAGGCCGTATATGTTATCCATGGGCACGGAAAGGCTGAATTTAAACTTTCTAGGTCGCACGTGTGCAGGAGGCATTACCCTAAAATTTTAGCTTCCTAGACCCCGTGGTCCCCGAGATAATAATTTGCCCGCCAAAACATTCACCGGAGCTGTACGTGTTACCCGTGGGTAAGGAGAGCTGAATTTGAGTTTGCGGGGTCAAGCGTGGATAAGGAACGTTTCCCTAAATTTTCAGCTTTCTGGCTTTTGTGGTTCCCGAGCTGAAAGTTGTGGACACAACACACACACACACAGACAACCCCGTGACAATATGCGTTTTTCCAGTGCAGCACTATAGCAGTACTACAGCGGTGCTACAGCCAGCAAAAACGCATACTGTCGAGAGGTCTTTGGGTGGGTGTGTATGTGTTCAGAAACGAGTGAATTTATTTCAGCAACCAGGAAAGCTAGGAGGCTGAAATTTGGGTGTATGTTCATACCCCGTGGGCCACCCCTCCCGTTTTAAGATCTTCCCCCACGCATGCCTAGACCCTGCGTACGGAACCCTGAAAGAAATAACTGTGCTAACCCGAGAACTTGCCAGAAAACTGTGGCTGAAATTTTGTCAGCATGTTTGCCGCCCACAATGAAGATCGTGTGCCTAAAATGAGTACCGATTTGCACTTGCGCCACGATTTAGGGTACTTCGAAGATATTTGTAGCGAAGTGGATATTTACTGGATAAGTTGTGAGGTTTTTCTGGATAAGTTGTGAGGCTTACTGGATAAGTTGTGAGGTTGAAAATTCGCTGACTCCATCCTCCTTGTATTTCCCCATATACATTTCTTACACAGAAAAAAAGAATAAGGAACATTCTCGAATGAAGACTGTTGGTTACAATTCGTGTTTAAGACGACAGCATGTTCTAGGAACAAATACGGTGCGGTTGAATACATGAAGTGTAACACAATGGTAAGAACATCTCAGCTCTCAGGTGGACTGGAAGTTGCGATGTGTGGAAGATGGCTGGGAATAACGAGGAGAAAAAGGTGATGTACGATGAAGACTGGCGCGTCGGTCTGGATAGAAGAGTTGCCGGTGTCATTGAGGAAGCTGATTAGGGCCAACGAAAGATGGTTGTTGATTTCCGCGATAAAAGGATTGTAAAATTGGAGGTTGAAAATTTGGAGGAGGCTGTCTGCGAAAG